TTTATACTAGCAGTCCCACGGGACGTACAATAAATGGTGTATTTAGTGTTACATATCGATGTGTTCGCCCTAGGCAGTCTACACCAAAGTTAAATGTTTAAGAGATCTCGTTTTCCGTAACAGACGACCAAATTAACACTGTATAGACGTGTACACGCCTGGTGACAACTTTTCATTAGGTTTTCAAATTTTCTCGTTTGCAATCAGAGGGTGTTCAGTGAATAGGAATATACATTAACTACGCGCTGCCGTATGTCCATTACTTGCCCTAATGACACCACCCATTGTTAATAATTGATGTTACCATATTGCACCCATTTGTCACAAAAACTGAAGTCTACTCCGACCCCTAGTAACCATATGATTAGAAGCATCGGAGAATCTACGGTCTATTTCCAATCACACCATTTAACCAGAAATGATGGAGTAGTCCAGTCGCACCTCACAATGACTTGCCACTTGACTGGAGGGACAGCTCATGAATATTCATAAAAAGAGTGTTAGGGTTATTCATTAGAATCGCACTGATTTTATATGCAGTAAATGGTGTTTCTAGGCCAGCATCATGGGTTTTCCACACCAAGTCATGAAATTAAGATTTCAGTAGAACATTCAAAATGTAATACGGGAAAATAATTCAGAAAATTAATTCTAATTCAGAAAAAGATTAAAACATAATTTATAAGGCTGTTTTTTCTGATAATGCATTAACGAAAATATGGAACTTATTTAGGAAAAAAATAAAATAAAGAGTAAATCAGAGTAGGTCTACTAAACAGATTGTTGATATACTTCAAATAGCAAAACGGATGTTTGATTTGAAGTGGCGTCGCTGAGTTGTCTTTCTTCAATATGCCGTTATGAGTTGAGAGAACAAGCTAATTAAATACAAATGATAATGATGACAAGACACTCCATTTCTTAGCAAATCAGTTGCAAAAATAACGTATGGTAAATTAATAGTGGGTGCCGTATTAATGTACATACATAACGTATGGTTCCTATGTCCTTATAGTGCCAATTATTGACGACTCATTCTTATGACTTTGTGTGTGGATCCTTCGTATACCGGAGAAGCTTTTGTCCGCGTTCGATACTTTACTTCGTAAAGTGTACACACAGCGTACGGTTATTCCGTATGTTTGGCACTAACGTTCTCCTCTCATATCCGATAACTAAGTAGTTATTAAAAGCAGGAAGTTAGTACCGTTTGGTTGGTAACTATAAAATCCTTTTTTTTTTGCTACAACAGTATGGAAGATGGAATCTCGTTTGATTCCGTATGAATGGTACATTTCATTGACAATGCCGTATTTTAATTCAAATATTGAAAACTGTATATCGCCATGATGTAAAAAAAATAATCAAACCAAGCTTGAAGATTTTAAGAACTAAGTGTAAACTATCAACATAACAACGTCACTTTTCGGCGTGGCACCATGGCAACACAAATTGTATTGTAAGGACTTCTCGTATAAGCCGTCTGTGTGGGCCCTTTGCTCGCTTTCATATAGTCACTAACCGAATGTCATACTCAATTGTCATATTTTCCAATCTATAAGAAAATAACAGTTGGTACGAAATCTGTTTAAGCGCACTAAGAAGAATAAAAACTAATACATGACAATCGTCAGTTAGGTTGATATGCAAATGATCAACGGAATCGCACCTGCGATTGTTAAATCGTTTCTCGGGCACGGAAATAAAAACAATTAAACATCGAAATATTTCAAAATATTGTGATGCAAATGCAACCATATAGTATACTACCATTAGAAAATACTCATTATCTAAACGTGATCTAAAAATGTCGTGAAAGCATACATAAAATATGATACGTGCTTATTATTGAATGCAAAGTTACTATTTTATCAGGTTACCTTATCAACCCAAATGCATGCAGTGCAGTGACGTAATTCTGACGTATCAACTGTTTGAACCATATTTACAAAATAATTCATTTTATTTATTTAGCCTGCATAAATTTACATATTTTTTGTGAAACACAGGAATCAATGTAGATGTATTCGCTCCAAGATTATTTAAGGATTTAGAGTAAAATATTGACAATATTCACGCCAGTCTCGTTTCAGCGGTATTAACGCATTCTTGCACAGATGGTTCAGCACGATTCTTGATTGCATGCCTTTTTACGGTAAACTAGACTATAGATTTAGACCCGCAGTGTTCAGCTAAATATTTACTGTTCATAAGCAAGAAAATAAACATAAATGCTGTCGGACGAGATTGATGGTTTAAATGCAACCTGCAATGCACATCTATGTAGGGATATCGACACAGACACGTGCGGTCAATTTCGGATTATTCCTCACATCTATTGTTCAGTAATGATCACAACGCCTGGAAAATGTAAACACTATTTTTTTTACGTTTGAATGAAAGTAAATCACAATAGTTCACAAAAATTGAAAATCACAGAACGGGAAATGAACACGTGCGGTCGATTTCATCTCAATGTCTGTTTCTATTTAAGCGGATCATATTTGACCACTTTTTACATTCCTTAATCCATCAGAATAAAAAATCAGACAATTTGTCGATTAATTCGATCTGAAAATGCAATTAAACACACAGAATGTAGTGTATTTCCAAACGAAAAAACACTTTGATTGTGTCTGATACCAATCTAAGCTGACGGATTAGATTCACAATGTAATTAACAAGCTAGAAAGAAGCTCCATGATATAATTAATAACAGATGAACGTATGTTTGTAGATCTGTGTAATTTTTAGTTTATTTCCGATGCTGTTTATTTCCATCCATTTTCGTCAGAGTAGAAAACGAGAAGGAATACAAAGCTAACGAGTCATTGTAAAATAAGATTAATTACATCTCAATAGGCCCGTATGTTACTGCCTTATTTACAACTAAGGACAACAACGTTATGACGGACAAGTATGTGGATTTCACCAAATTCAATCTATTATAAGATTAATTAAAATCTCAGCTGAAAATAAATGGAATTATTTGTTGTATTTTGACACATTTCGCCATCACCTGATGCAACAGCGCTTATTTGTTTATTTCATCAAAGCGAGGTCCACTCTTGCATACGTGACTCCGCAAATATTAGATTAGGTTGTCCAATTGTTTGAGAAGGTTCCGGATAATGCATATCCCGCTCAAACAAATCCACTTCTGAAGTTCTAGTGGTAACACATCACCGGGCGTCAGCGCTTGTCAATAGTGTGTACGTTCTAAAAACGTGTTATCACGCCAGCACGGTAACATGAATAGGCTAAACATAAAGTCGATATTTTAACAGGTACAGTAGCTTGCCGTGTAAAGGGAAGTTGAATAGTGCGATCATCCAGTAAATCATGTTGTATTTTTATTACTGGTCAAGTAGAGCCCCGCCTTTGTCCACCAAGGACACGGTACTTATTGAATGGAATAACACTGCACGCATGAGTTGACCACACCACGTGTGTTTACAATGTGGAAGTTTTTTTGTATAAGATTAAGAACCGTTATAGGGCATCGTTGAAATAAATAAAGTGTGACTTGTTGTGGTGTGTCACAGCTAACCGTGTGTCTATGTAATATAACTGTCACCTAATGAATACGACCAGGAAGGGGACAAACGTTGATATTTCCATGGTTTGATTGCACAGCATAACATTTTGGACATCTAAAGTTTTAAAAACTATCTTGCGCTGACCCAGCTAAAATAGCGGTAATTCGGACCTGGAAGCCCGATGAAAATCTTTTCTGTGGGCCCGAGGCTAGTTCTCTGAATTCTACCTATCCATGTAACGATGACTGAGTAATTTAACTTAGGCTATGAGTATGGTACCCATGCTAACTGATAGTATACGTCTCAATGTGGTACGACTTAATGTGTAGGAGAATGACACATTTAGTCCAGGGCGTTTCTTATCCAAGTGCCCAATCTCCGGGGCTCCGCGTCTCAACCACAGCGGTGTATGACGATCGGCCATAGGTCGTGCATTGTTTGTGACGCGGACCAACAGACTGCGGTTGGAAAAAGACGGGGGAAATACGACGAGGTTTGCCAGGTTATATATACCTGGGTGCTCAGTTAAGCAACACGGGGAAATATAAAAGAACGAGCCATTTAAATCACGAATTAAGAGGGCATTGTGCGGCACATCAACTGTGTACCCCAGGTAAAACGGGGGATTCTAATCGAAACTATATTCTAAAAGTAATGATATTCTTACTTGCATGGATTAGTACACCCGTGATTCTAAACAGAGCGGATATTTCATAAATATATTTGCGGTTTAATAGTCCAAAAACTGAACAATACTGGCGTATTTTAACAATAACAATTTGATATACGAGACCGAGGCTGTGCTTGTGGAGTTGTAACTTTTTTTAACACGAAGATTGTAATTAAAACTTTGATAATTATTATAATTTTGTTAATTATTGTGGCATCGATGTCTCATTCATAATAAGTATATCGGTTATTTTGACAACCGCTTCACATTGGCAATGTTATCAGCTGAACGGTAGCGGCGTATATGGACCATATTACGTTGCACAGATCATAAAAAACGCGGTATTTGGTTGGTGGGGCGAGATTTTATGTAAGTAAGAATAACAAGCAGCAAGGATGGGAAGTCCAGATCTGGGCTTGCTCGGGTTATCGATAAAGTAAATCAATATATACCAATATAAAATATATCCGTTCTTGTTTTTTTTACTCATATAATACACTGTAATAGTGAATCAGTAACATTCTGACAGCATCGTCGTCAACCTCGACAGAGGCGGCACATCTGGTTGCAAAATCCCATTGTTAGTGTGACGTGGATCCGTTGAAAAGCTAACGGTTGTGAGTGGAGTAAATCGAAGCGTTTTGACCTTGCTATAACATGGACACTCGTTACACCTATTGAAATCTGTATGATGGGTCATAATGCCGCATTATTAGAAAATGCTGGCATGTTGGAATAATACAAAAACTCCACAAAAGACAACACATGCTGTGCACAGATAATGTATAATGGAAATCACCATGACAAGGCCTGGATTGACGCGATGTTGCATCAACCAACAACCAAGTATTATCAGCGGTTAATCGTTTACTGATTTGCAACTTATATATCCTGCTTGACAAATGTGACAAGTGCATTAAACCACATTTTCTTACATGTGTTTATCAAAATGTGAAAAGCATCGATATTTGAAACATAAAACAATGAGTCATGTATCAACAATATAAAAAAAATGCTTTCATTTGTTTGGTTATTAAAATCAAATAGTAAACAGATATTAGAATATTGAATGTATGTAAACACAATAGTATTAATGCTGCATTCTCGGCGAGGTACAATCCCCTAACCACTATTCACACCATCAAATATTGAGATTGTGGATGGGTAATGAGAAATTAAGGTATGTGTGTCTAAGGGATAAAAATAGTACTTTCAAAATGAAATGAACGAGAAAGTAAAGGATATTTAATTTTTAATATATTATATTTTTATTATCTAAAACAGCTTCATTTGAACGCTTTTTGTTTTTACCTTACTCTGGGAATGGTGTTTTACATTCGTACAAAGTTAAAACATAACTAAGTTTAAACTTTCAACTTTTTCATTTATTTATTCAAATCAACAGACAACTCACGTAAATGAGAATGTTGAAGTTCTTGTGGGCTGACATGCTTTGGGGGAAAGGGTGCAATCAATCAGTTAATTTCTCATTAATTTCTCGATGATGATACCCGCATTCAAAACGTGAACTGAGCGTAGAAACAATACACAGGGCAGGGAATTTTACCGTCCCCGTGCGACTTATTCATAAACTGCTGGATACCCCCTTCAAATAAACTAATTCGGCGTGTTTTGAAGTGTGGTCCGTACCTCAGTAGTAAGCAGTCGGTAGAAGAGATCGAACACACAGACACTCTGATGAAAGGCGAAAGCTCTAACCACAGTACTATCGCGGGTATGCAACACGTCCGGGGAATATATTGACCGCCGTACCAGGTACCCGAGTAATGATGACAGTAGCGCTAAAATCCACCTGTACGAAAGTGACTTCCGACTTTGATACAGCTCTGGACCAGAACATAAAAGGATAATTGCATATACAAGGCGTAATATTCTGAAATTTGATTTAAAAAGTACATTCTGTATGATAGTCGGTGGGCGTTTAACGCAGCGCAATGTAATTCATGAAAGCAAAGCAAAACAAAACAAAGACTGACGAAATTGTCGTCTGCAGTCCAACTTTAACAAAAACCTGTATTTTGATAGTTTGCAAAGTTTAAAGTAGACTTTTGGTGGAAGAGTTTTGCAACAACTTTAAGAAATTAACTCCAAAATTGCTTTGACAGGTAAGACGCCTGTGTCATGATGACCAGAGCTGTGAAAATGAAAGTACTGTTGAATACTATATTTTCGCTTGGAATTAATTTTCGCCATTTTCGCTGAAGGAATGATTCAGTAAAAATAAAATCCAGCGAATATACATTTTTTTTCTACATTTTACATTCAGCTTGTCAAAAATCAGTGAAAATAAATTCTATACAAAACACCAAAAAAGTCCTTTCAGCGAAAATTAAATCCAGCTAAATAAAGTATTTTACAGTAAATACTGTATTAATATTAACCTTGGATTACCGGGTTCAATGTAGACTGGCAAGCTAAAGACAGTATACTATCGGTGTCAAGTTTCGATTTTTTGCAAAGTTTATGGCGTTTCTTTGAAAATATTAATCTAAATTCGCCGGAGATCCGATCATTTTCTAAAGTCGTGTCAATTGTTAACCAGAAGTTTTTTTTTTTATAAAAATAAATCAAACTTACCGTCTTTATTCATCTGGGCGTCGAAGCATTTTTTGAGTCTGCATGCTCTGCATTGGTTGCGATGTGTCTTGTCGATGGGACAGTTACCGCCGTCTTTACCTTGTTGTTTGCACGTATATACTCTGTTACGGTGTATGCTTCGTTTAAAGAATCCGCTGCATCCATCACACGCATACACACCGTAGTGTTTACCAGAACTCCGATCACCGCATACTTTGCACGGGATGTCCAAGAGACGTTCACCTGAAATGTTAAAGATATGTTTATAAATATTATCAAGTTATAGTTATTCTATAGGCAGAGATTCTTGTTTTCCCAGCCAATATATTTGCAATCAAATACCGGATAGCAGACTGTGTACTTTGCCGGTTTTAAATAAACGTAGTTTCCGCGCGACTGGTATGTGTATGGTTAAAATAAGAACATACGTGGCACTCTTACAAAAAACGAATTTTATTTTATCTAAATCTGAATTGCGGTACACAAAACATATAAGATTTAACTGAATCACTTAAATAAGAAATACTACAAAGAAAATCGAATCCAGTTCTATTGGCATTATGATTTCAAGTCGAATTCACATACAAGCAATTTAAGTGCAATGTACACGTACTGTCACAGTCCACCTGCATCGTACGTAAAGCTGTCGCACGCCCCTTTCAATAGACTGTAATTTTATACGACCACTTTTCCTATTAAATTTATCGATAATTGAAATTAACAAGTGTGTACTTGCGTTGATTTCAATTTGCCAGACGACGTATCATATTTAAGTGTGGATTTTAGGGGTGTCCTGTTTCACTGTATTACTTTTAGAACGTCGCGAAGTCAAACAAACATGTTACGTAGGTTAGTACGTGTACGACGGCATTAGACAATTTGATACACTGACATGCAGGTGATATCCACAACACGCATTGTTCAAAGCGCGTACTATTTCAATTAAGAGCATTTCTCAGAAATTGAAACTGTTATTTTGTGACGGATTACTTCACTTTGCAAACTGCTTGCATATTGTCTGTATCACCGCCACACGAGACGTTTGCTGAACACGATCACGGTGTTTATTTTGCATCGATCGCGGAAGGTGGCTGTTTTTAGAGAATTTCTCTGTTAATTCCGGTAATAATACACCTATAAATAATGGCACGTTTTTCAAACTGTTTTGAACACTTGTCACACAATTCTATAGAATCAATTTCTAAGTATAAGTCGTTTTCCAACTTCAAACTTGAATGTATTGAAATTATTTAACATATGGCCATATAGCAAAATTATCATGTTGATAATAACCGAAGTTTAACCATTTAATTAAGACTAAAGTAATTTCCACGATTGATTGGCACACGACATATTGTTTTAGACGAGAAAATGGCCGAACCAAAATGTTTTCAACCCACATTGCGTTCACACGCTAAACCTATCTGAGTAAATTCAGTCTTTCTATACAGAAGTCACAATGCGATTTTGGACTAACGTTTGAAGTATGATATATGTGATTTTACAATATCAGTGTCGACGGTTTATGGTCTTAGTTTGTAGATTTACTGTTATATTAAACATTAAAACAGTAGTGTTATTTGGTAAGACGTGAAGAATTCATTGTCGCACAGTTTACGATTTCAATGTTCTTAAACGTTTCTATGTACATTGCAGTATTTTGGACTTTATTAAATAAATTATTTAGTTTGGCAATTTAACAGAGTGACTAACACAACATAAAATAGTCATGAGTGACTTCCTGCGTATATCAGTTTTCTAGTTAGTAGGCTTACAAATAATTAATACCCCAAAATATATAAAACACAGGTGTCGCCCTGCAACTAATTATTATAACACGTTTAACAGCAACAGAATAAAGTAATAAAATAGCTTAGTTTAGAGTAGAAGTTTTGGTGAGAACTATCCCATCGGGTGTCTTTCATTGCCTGGATTTTCGTGAAAGGCGCACTTTCAACGAGTTAATTATCTATAAGCAAAACCCGACGAGGCAAACGATTGGAGAGTGGATTCGAATAAAGCCAAGTACCAGTTTTACAGATTTCTCTAATGAGATTTAATAAATAATAACCTCAAAATAAGGTCATCTACCGAATCTAGATTTGTAATTGGAACGTTATGAGGACACGTTCTTTATTTACGTAGTATATAAACGGGATAGGTTCATGGAATTTACACTTTCCCTGTCACCTTACACAAAGCAGCCACGTTTAAAGCCGGTGGTCGTTGTTGTCCTGCAGCGTGTTCGAATTTCACGTTAACCAACAATGTATTTTACACGCGTTGTCTACGTCGCTATGACTCCCATATCGGACAGAACTCGGCGTGACGACCATCACCCTTTACTATCTGGTTCATTCAAACACATTGTCGCCAAACTGTATTTTAAGGGTGGACGCGTTTAAATGTTAAAATTGAAATTGTAAAAGTTCTACAAATTCGTGATAAGTCACTAATTGAAAGACTCAATTAAATGAACAGTAACCTTCGCTGCGGTTATGATTGATTGAAATAACGGAAATACGCATACGATTGAGGATCATAATTTAAAAACTCGGACACGGACACCCACTGGAAAATGTGTGTCTGATAAGACAGCCAATCGCAAAGAATAACTTGTCAAATTTTCAAGAAATATTTGAGAAGAAAATCCATAAATTTGAAATTGAATTGATAAAATAATTGAAAATGGTTTCTACATTCAACTCCCAGCATTCAGTGCGTCAGATACTTATGTAAATACCAAAATGAAAACTCCTAATTCTAGGCTGGCAGCTCTCTTCTGTATGTGTGAAACCCCCTAGGCTGTGAATGAGCCAGAATACTTTGGAAACTGAAAAATAACAGTCGTCGTGAAACTATTATATGTTTTAATAAAGATAGTAAATGTTGTAGCTGTGAGCTGTCTACCACGTTGAAAAATTCCTTCCCATCACCGTCTCAATTCAAGTCACGACAATACCCTTTAGATATGCGTACACACGCACTGATACCTAAATATACCAAATGGCAGCATGGTCAGCTGTTTATTACACGAATTATAATTCGAAAATCAAAAACCATGCAACCTCCTCGAATATTTTCACTGTACACAATGCTTTCCATTAAACTATTTGATGCGAATTCATTGCGAGCGACAGTGTCAATTTTGTTCAACTATGTTTACTTTTCAATTTGACAGAGATGTCACCGCGCATACAATTGAATATTTTCAAAGTCATTTGCTGTATCTCTCTAATGGTTCGTGTCTGAGAGGCAACATCACTTATACCAACATCCATTCGCGTTAACAACAAGGTTGTTTGTTGGTTAAACACTCTTGTTATTTACTATAATAATTGTCGTTTCAATGTAAAACCAGCAACCAATACGCCGTGACGTTGAGTTCACCTATACTTAGAGCTATTTGTTTCGAATATGCATCCTATGTGCGAGATGGTGTTGAATGAAATATTGAGGAAATAAATATTTTTAGAATTTGTCTTATTTGAGTTATTTCAACGCGTTCCAATTCATCTTTTAAGAGATGCTATTCATTTTGGTGTCTTGTTGTGATTCATAAAATGATTAATTAACGCCGCGCTCTGTAAATTAGGGTAATTACTTATAAGTTTTGTCAGCGCCATCTGTGTCGCGTCACATTGCTATAAAATCAAGATAAAACTAGAAATCATCATCACGGATGCTAGCATCCGCCTAGGTGATGCTTCCAATGGTTTCCCTGACAACTAAAAAACTGACCCCTTCATCAGTATTTCAGACATACCTTAGATTTTGTCTGATTTTTTTGACATCGTCACACAGTTAATATTGTTGTTTTTTCATCTGTTTGACGACTAGGTCGGCCAGGTCGGATACCAAGCTATGAAAATCGGTTGAAAATGTGACAAGAATGACTTGTTGCGAGGACGGGAATCGATTATGTTAAGCTAAAACTGACACCAGCTGTAACCCTCACGCACGCTTTGCTGCCTCTACACGGCATACTCGTGTGACCGGCCCCAAATCAATTTCACATACACCACACATAACAAAAATATGTTTGTTTTTTTGTGTCATGCCAAAATGTAACAACACGGTACTGTGCGACGTGTGTGTGATGTCACGTGTAAATGGATGCCTTCTTGATTTTTTCAGGGACCCCCGGGATGATGTAATGACCAGAAGCAGCGACAGAAGTGAATGGTCATCACTCCCAATGATTTAATTTAGTATATCACCATGGAAAACATAAATACAGTCCATTTTTTCCTCAAGGATTTGATAAAATGATCTTATAATATAACCAAGTGAAATTATTGCGGGAACAAAGGTCAAACCAATGGGTCATATATCCATGGCAACATTATCGTGATATTGCATTGATTTCAACAAAGAAATCACTAATTCTCTATTCATAAATGAAATTAAAAACAACATGGATGTTACAACAATGCCATATTATTATTGTTATTATTATATGAGAATGGAAGTAGCCACAAATTAGTGAGGGCAAGCTGTTGGGGGTTAAATCAGTGGTTTAATACTACTATTCGTTATGATATGCACTGTTTGTATATAAACTTATTGTCTCATCGAAATAATACCAGGATTCAAAAATGTAAAGAATTTTTTAGCTGTATATGATCAATATATTTTCTGTATAGATAAGCTCTGGAATACGCCATCATTGATCCACCGTTTCTGTCTGCCTGTCGTTCATCTCCCAAGATGGCCGTCCATTCCATCTCCATCCGATCAGATAGTTTGTGGTATACTATGATAACGTAAGTACCCCTCATTATGACGTCACGCGATTCGTGGTGTCTGATAAACAGATATTTCGTTCGCGTAAACACGAAAAAATCGCCCTTCTGAAATTTCGTTGATTTTCCGGCGAACGTAATTGACGCAATTGCAGTGATAATCATGTATTAGTTTGATTATCAGAATTGAATAAACCAATTACAAAGTCGCACGTGAATTTCCATGACGGGAAAATATGTAGCCACTTGACACAACTGACACATGCTGTCTCTGAAATGGCCGGTGCGTGGTATAATGTGTAAAATTTATCAATAATATTTTCTGATAAACTTATTACTATTCATGTGACCCAATATCATGAAGTGAAACGTACCTTAACTACAGGTAAATCCTAATAACTGAGGTCAGAGGTCACGTAGTCAAACTACGGGTAAATAATAACCATATAACTGCATAGTTGATGACACCCTACATTCAATGACTTATTTCACTGTGCTGTGTTTTATGATTAATAACAGATTAAATGCGAGAATAGAAGTAACATCATTCAACGGTATGTGATGAAACACGTGGCCCAATAATCGTCTTTGTGACTTTACTAAGCCATTTCCAATAACCAAATATATCACACCACACAAATAATGATACATATGCATGCATTTTTAAACATTAGTTAAATTCTCTTTGGGGGAATAATAGACTCACTATAGCAGATAATGTTACATATAAACGACAGATTTATTTTTCAAATGTTTGTAGATTTGATTAGTCTTACCACGCTGGCTGTTATTACTGGCGTGATGATATGAGTTTTAACACGATAGCACTGTATAAAGGATATCAGCCTGGTGTTGTGTGTTGTTTGGCTTTGGTATTAATAATATCTGTCATCGTACTCGATTTGTCTGAGTTCTATCTGCACCACATTTACAATTGATCATCACATGAATGTGACTGACCACTTAAATACAGTGAGAAGCACGTGCTTAGTAAATCCCAGAAGTGTGAATTCACTTGCGAACACGAGACACCGAAAGTTGGCATCCCCTTGTACAGACACTATTGGGGCCCCCAGTATTTAGAAGAGCGAAACGATCCTATCCTCCACACCCAGTATTTAGGCGGATATCACTTGACACCGACTTGCTACCAACGATGTTAGATTTCAGTTTGCCGGATTAAAAAGCCGCATTATTGTTTTTGTTTTAATTCTGTTGATTTTCATTTTTTAATTAAGAGATTTGGATGAATTTAGAGCACAGCTGTAGTTAGAATTTAGTAAGAATTCATGTGATTGCTATAGATGGTGTTATTATCCTAGCAATAGTTATCCGTATTTTTGTAAAGGTGATATTTACGGGACATCGGTCCGTGTATTCGAAGGGAGCGTGTCCCTAACTGGCTCACACGGATTGCGTGACTCTCGGCTTATTCTGAATAGCTGGTCAGTAAACGACAATATGAATAATATTCACATATTATGTACCCGTATTTAATATTTCACCCAAAATAACCGACGATTGCTGTATTAATGAACTACTAGAATGGATACCGATATTGACTACAGAATGATTCGTTCGCCGCCATCAATTGAATCAAACAAAACTTATTTTGAGGCCTTATCCAAAGTATGCTGGCATCGTACGTTGTCACGGCAGTGCTTGTTTTAAAACGAGAACACAGTTTACTATTTTAAACAAAACTAACCCTCGTTGCTATGAATGTTTTTATCATGTCCCCGTGGCAACTCAACACCCTGATTAGTAACTACATTTTTTTAATTGTTCATGTACTGGCTCTGCGTGTTGTTCCGCCCACCGAACTCTTTGTAAATTTTAGCAAACTGACAACACTATTCGGCAGCATATGTTATGTGTGTGTATGGAATAACGTTAGAGCTTGGCTACACAGTGTGCAGTCAATAGACTACGGTAAGTCACACACTTGTAACAGTTCATATGCTCAGTATTCTATAGTCCAATTGTATTCAAGATTTTTATCTTCTTTAGAAAAAAAAATCATTATCTGAGATTGCCCGTGGATTAATTTTGATATACTTCAACGAGCAGTGGAATGCTTCAATATTTCAAAAATATATTTCTTAAATAAAAAAAAACTATTTTTCAAACAGTTAGTGGGTTAGTCTTCTCAAGCTGTGCAGTACTTTATTAAAGCTTCGTAACTGAAAAAAACACGTCTTCCATACATCGGGATGCAGCGGCACATCGACATTCGCCATAACGTGCACAATTAAAGACGAAATGATTTGGCAACATTGGAAAAGAACGACGCAGTGTCATTTGGTAAAACAGAGGTATCAACCAACATCAAGGAAGTATGTCCTTGCACGTAAAATTGTTAAGATAATCTGTCATCAGTCTATGCTAATTGGCGTCATTTTGTCACACAGTATCCACAGAAAGTCAAACTTCGCAGGCTGATACAGCCGCGATAATAAAAGATGCCGAAAATGATAGTATTCTGTGATGATGTGTCTGGCAATATGGAAACACAGGCAGATTTAAAAGACGAGGGAACAAAGCCGAGTCGCTGACACGCGTACATGACAGAATACGGGATGCTGTGTAAAGATGGACGTCACGCGATAATCAGACGTATGGATAACAATATTGAATAAGTAATTCAGTCAAATAAAACAAGCTAAACAAGATTGCAATTCTGTCAGTTATCGAAATTTTTTCAAACTAATTAGAAGGGAAGGCAATACACGGAACTCGTGTGTAGCGTGTCTGGCACGTCGGCTCCAATTCATCCAACTCTAAAAAGCCTTTGAAAAATGTTTGTTCAATCCTTTTTTTGTTGGGATAAAGCCAACAAATGAAAATACGGAGTTTTTATAGGTCTATCTGGATGGTTTCAATCTGCCCGATTCCAATGCACGATACGTGCTAGTAAAGAAATTATCTATTTTTTAACACACGAATTGCTTAATAAACATTTTAGAATAATCAAAAAAGGTTTTTAGTATAAAATGTTCAAATATGTTGTTCAAAAACAACTTTAGTTTGAGGTTTGAGATATAACACAATTATTTTTAAAAGATATGTGTATACATGTCCTTGTTTACTGGCAACCCCAATAAAGAGGTTCGATCACAGGTACTATCCATTACTGAACACGACATTGAACAGTACAACGTCTGGAAAGTTAATCATGTTTCAATTACACATATCCGTCTAGGTATTGTACGATTGCCAGCGAATGTGCGATTTAAATTTATTCCAAGATTTTGTGACTAATTTTCCATAACACTGTTTTCAAAACTTGATCCGGACAACGTTTAAGCATTGGTGGTAGCTGCGCCTGTAATAGGCAGTGCAATGACACTCTCAATAGTACTTTTTAAGAAAACCTTAAACATTACTTGAAATTGCATTTTTCAACTAAGTTAGAAATAACATCTCAGCAAAATAATATATCACATATAAAACTTACTTTTATAGTCGTTGTTCGGACTTGGTGTACGTTCAGTTTCAGTCATGACGGGTGATGGTGATGCAGACCTCGTAATCTTGTTAGTGTCATCTACACTATCTCGTCCGCTCATCGTCATCATTATGTGGCAGTTCTCAAGGACGGAAGTTTTCAATGGTCGATGTCAACAATTTCATCCACTATTTAATGTTGTTTTGGTGTCTGAGCGTTATGTCAGTAGTTTGCATGTGCCAGAACTGATTTAGTTGCGTGATGTACGCATGATGTGCTCGCAGTTAGCGTGTGCCAGTCTCTCGTCCTGTGTACTCATTTGATATGGACCTTGGGAATGCGGCAGGTGCATGGAAGTTAAAAGGCTACCACTGGACCCCCTAAGTCAGTGAATCAGATTATACCCAGCCACTCAGTCATGCCGTGTCATCCCCATCACCATATTGATTTTTAATAATTATCATAACATTAATCACATACGCCCCGTTTCATATATAAAAAGCAAAATGTTTTAAAAAAATGTTACGTTCGACAGAGTTGTATATTTGAGTTAGGGTTTTCAACACACAGATTTGAGTATACTTAGAGGACATTAGCAGTGTTGCATGTAATAGTAAGTTCATTCATGGCCCTGTCAGGATGAGATTTCATTGGGCAACACATGGCGAGCTATATATTGCATAGATATGTTATGATTTTATGACTCATATAAACGCAAACCTGTTGCAAAATGGTTTCAAAAAATGTCATTGTTTATGACGAGGCATTAAGTACATCTATTTTCCAGGGGTTCAGAGTGTGGCGTGGTTATGCTACGTCTACTAACTGACACGATGATGCCATAATGTGTAGGTACCACGCTATGAATAAGTCATGCACAAATAAGTAAAGACTATTTTCACAATTATATCAAATTTACTTTCTTATCTGACTCAAATAACGTCCCGATTCAAGCACCTTTACCGACTCACTGTAATAGTCGAAATGAGGAAAATGTGTTGTGTTCTGTTACTTATGTTGTATTGAAATAATTGAAACGTTGAGTGCTTTTAATCGCAAAAAATCAATTTCGGCACTTAAAAGATATTTTTTTTTAGAATTCAGTATGAATTTCTTCGTTTGACTTTTATTTGTTTTCAAATAATATTATTACTTTTTTCGGAAAGCACATTTGTATTAGCGCCAGTGTCAGTGGCTGGCCATCACCGTGCCTACTGGACCGTGGTATTGGCCATATGGTCATTTAAAAAACGCAACTAGTTTATGACCGAGAATAATACACTAATTGGCATGACAATTCTACAGGGTCAGAGGATTGTTCCGCTTAACATTTTTGTCCAGTAGGATACCCAATTGCGCGGACACTCTGATTTAAGCTAATACGAACAATGACGTAGGTCAAAACGTCACCGTTCGCCGCTACAACATGTGTGTGTTGGTAAAGTCATTTATTTACTCCTGACCAATGATGTAATCTATTTGAAATTAAACCATGACGATATATATAACCACGTACTCTAGAAATAACTGCGTTGAACATTCGCTGGACTGTCGTCACACACAATTTCAAGTACATACAACAACCCTATATAGATAAAATGACAAAACTTATATATTGAATAAAAACAAATCACACACCTTTGTGTTAACGGAAAACCCTAACAAAATTGACCCAAACAACATCCTAGAAATACTAATCTGACTCGAAACTAAATTAAAGGTTTCCATGTAAGTAAACAAACAATATCGTTTACACGCATTGTGTACGTCGCTATGGGTTCCATATCGAACACATCCTTTAAAAAAAACATGCAGTTTGTGTATTAGCTCCCTATCCAGAAAGTATAATGATCAAACCCCATGTTGCCCACAAACCCAAATACTAGTATTAAAGCGCGTTAGTCGTCGCGCTGCGCATGTGCGAGATATATGGGTCTCATATAAACAAAGATGGCGACTTTGACTGTTGTGCAGATCAACGAGTACGAACTAAGACGTTTCCAAGATTCAATTAAGTAAATTTTCAAGTTATTGGAAGGTATCGAAGGAGTCACTGGCGGTAATCAG